TTCAGCATCCCCATGTTTCAAAATGGCTGTGGGGGTACTTTAAAGCTTATTGAGTGAACATTAGTTAAAGTGCCCACACAGCTATTTTGAAGCATGGGATGCTAAACACACACAATGCTGTGGGTGCTTTAATTAAAACGCCTCCCCCTCCACCCCAGAGCACGTGCATAGATGCTCTAACTGCTGAAATCTTATTTCACCTTTATGCACCTAAGTGGTACTTTGTAGCTGCATAACTTCAAGTTTTGGATTCTATATCCACCTGTGGATTAGGTGCAGTAGTATTGCCCAGGTATGTACAAATCTGCCAAAAGTAAGATGGAGGAGATCCCTCCCACTTTTTAGCCTGTTAAGCTAGTGGCTAACGTATGTGCCCAGACAGCAAAAAAGGTGGGCTCTAGTCCCCTCCAACCTCCCCCCCACACACAGATTTGAGCTTGCATTTCTGCTTTCCAGAAATATGCTCTAACCAGTTATTGCCCAGAACCATCTACAACCTGCCTTTTGAAATAGCCCTACTAGGCGGTGTGGAAGAGAAGATAAACAGACACAGAAGATGACCACGCTAGAAGTACTGGGCTCACTTCCCTGTTTTTTCTGCTACTTAGCTAAAGTTGTGCCTGCATGAGCTGCCTAAGGGGCAGCACTTTATGTTCAAAACCTTATCTAAATCTCTCCATACAGCTAGTTCAAAAATGTATTGCCCACGAAAATCCTAAACTCTCCTGCTGCTATTTATTTATTTAATCCAATGAATATTAAATTTAAAGTGCAGAATGGCCATAGGAGACAGGGTGGCACCCTCCCTTTAAGTTTGTTCTTCTCTTCCTGGTCAACTTCTTTGAGAGGAAAGGCCTGCAGGCATTGCCTAGTCTCTTGTCTATTACGACAGCACTTTGCTAGGAAGTGGACGATTCAGGTTCAAACTCCATCTGTGTGAGAAAGTCACACATCTCCTGTTCCTGGACAAGTGTCCTAAATCTCTAGCTCACTAATTGGGTGAAAAGGCAGGAAAATCATGTCATATTCCCAATAAATATAGTATTTCTGTGACTAAAGATTTGGAGCTTACCCAATATTATGTGCATGCCTGGGTAATTTTATTCTTTCTAGGTGTCCAGCCACACTGTAGCCTACTCAGTGTGCTCAGAAATGAAGCAAACAGTGAGAAGGTTAGAGAATGGTCTCAGTAGTACTTAGCCCATAGTTTGGTGGTTAGAGTATTTCACAAGAAAACTGGAGAGAGAGGTTCAAACCCCTTCTAGCTGGGCAGTGCCCTAACCACGAAACTAGTCAGCTAAAAGATAGTAAGATTAGTCATGCTTTTTCTGAAATTAATGATTGTGAGTTACAGCTATTATACACATCAAGGCAATTCTATTCCACCTAGGTGCCTTTATACCCAAAGTGTAGCCTATAGAGTATGCTGAGAAGGGAAGGACAGTGCTAACATAACTACAGGGAATCTAAACTGCAGGCAAGGACCAAAATTGTAGTAACATGAGTATGTAAGTGCCACTTAGGCATGTAAAGGGGGAATAGGATTTATCTCTACAGTCATCCCTCGTGTAACGCTACTGACTTTAAAGGAGTGTTAAATTGTTTTGTTAAGTTGACTATAACCAGTGCTGGGGGAGGTGGTGGGGTTGAATGGAGTGACCTCTCCTGGCACTGAAGCAAAAGGGCACTCCCCAGCTTGGGAAGGGCGCAGGATGGAGTCGTGAGTGGCTCATTTGGGAGGGTGCAGGGATGGGGGGAGGGAGGCTCCCACCGCTGTGTGCACTTCCAGATAAGCATGGAGGGACATGTGCCCCATAGATCTGTACACAGGTCAAAGGCGGGCTGCTGCTGCAGGCTTTGCCCTGGGCACCAAAATTCATTGCTATGGCACTGACTATAACATATTGGCCCAATAAGGATGGTCAGGCTATTAAGTAATGGACTTAATCTGCAGTTAGTGTGTTAGACATACATGGGTAAATTCAGAGCCTGCTTCATGAATACTGGTTACTGAATCAGGAATTTAGAGACCAGAATTTCATTTCATAGTATTGTACTTTATAACCTGCTTTAACATTTATAACTTTATAACATTTAACATTAATTTAAATGAACATTTAAAGAAATATTTCATTTCTTGGACTGTGCAGTTAATTGTTTCTTTTTGTAATCTTCCTATATGATGTAATCCTAATATGAATTAATCTTATATTGAAATATACATAAATAATATATGGGTATAGATAATGTATAACAACACACAGAGGAAAACAGAAAAAAGTATTGCAGATTTCTGGCATTTGAAAACCAAGGGTTGGGCTGCAAAAATTTATGAAACTATAGCAAAACCCCAATTTTTTTTTTTTTAATTTAAACATACACTCCCTCCCCTTCCCCTAACCATTTCTGACTGTCTGTCTGCCCTCTCTATCCCTTATAAGTGATTACAAGTAGTACTAGGTAAGCTAAGTTATTGTATGCTATTATTGTAATAAGCACCTTTTTGTATCATAAATAGTGTTCTGTTATGTTTGCATTGATTTTTACTGATTTATATTGTATTATATTGTAATTCCTATCATTTTTGCATTGATTTTTATTGTTTCATATTAATACTGTATGGTTTATGCCTGTGGCTGTAAAGTAATGTCAAGTAATGTCAAGTTTCCATTTTGTATGTCAAGCCTCTACCTTGTGTCCCCTGCCCTATACAATGTTGCAACTATGACCCATACCTACCCCTCCTATGTAAATTGGTTCCTGAATGAATGGGGATAAATGAGGGTGCTCAAGAGACAATGGCAGTAGGTCTAAAAATAACTCCCTCTGAATGACCAAACCATCAACTCAACAACCCAACCATCACCCTGCATTGACCCTCCCTGGCTCAAGACTTGGAAGACAAAGACTGCTGCAGAAACCAGCCAACCCACCATTACAGACATCTAGAACTGTATGTCCTAGCCTAGAGTGCACATGCTCAGTGCACCAGGGCTGACCCTTGCCTGGGCATGCCCCTGCCACTAGGGTCATAGAAGGTCTGCCCCTATACAAAGGGGTAGTGAAGACAGACCCAATGGGATGCCCTCTCAATCTAGACCATCACTACACCACACCACCTATCCACCCAGAGGCCCTGCCAGCAACTCCCTCTGGACAACACCTTGCTGGAGAAGACCCTGACTGGCCATCAAAGATCAACTCACAGCCCAGGATAGGTAGCTATCACCCACCTTCCTTCCCCAAGCAAAGGACCTGGACTCTGCCCTTACACACCTTAACTTCAATCCCTCCACCAAGCCTTTTTCTTTCCTGCTATACCAGTATATATGTATATATATATGTGTGTGTGTGTGTGTGTGTGTGCGCGCACGCACGTGTGTGCATGCATGCATGTGTAGGAACCAATAACTTCATGGGGCTCTGTAATGTGTTGTCTGTTTAATAAAACTGTTAATTTGGAACCCAAGTTGGGTTTTGTCTCTGACCTCCCAGCCCTACTCCAATCTCCCAGCTTTCTGCCTCTCTGCTTCCTGGCTGTTTCCTCCTTGCCACCAGGCTTTTTCCCCTCACTGCCACCCTGGCACCAGGTGACCCCAAGTAACCCTAGGGCCACTCGACCTTAAGTACCCCAAGCACACACATACATACAACACCACTCAACTTAGGAACTCATCTGTGTGTATGTGCTTGAATGGGTGATAGGTGTGCATGTGGTTAGACTGGTAATCTTGGATGTGCATGTGCACCTAGTGCATGTGTATGCGCCTAATTGATTTTTGTGTGTATGTGTATAAGTGCAATTGTGTCACACCCTCCCATCTAACAGTGCAATTTTGAGATCCTAAAAGTTGGCCTGGCCCTACAGGACAACAAAACCAGCTTAAAAATCTTCAGTTTAAAAAAACAAAACAAAACAAAAAACAGATTGGGGTTTGTTTATTAGTTTTTTTGTCTTGGACCATGGAGGGTCACATACACAAAATTTGATCTGCAAGCACAAAGGCTAGAACTTTTTTTTTTTTTTAAATCAAAAGCTGATATTCTCACAAAAAAAACCAAAACAAAAAACAAAAAAAGGCCTTGTGGAACCGGGATTTTAGATAAAACACCAAATATTGTGAAACACCTCAAACCCATGTAGCTGCCAACACTGAAAGCTGGATCAGGTTGAGGTGTATGTGGGCAGAGTCAGGCAAGGCCATCAGTCTGTACAGTTCAAGTTCTCCCTATTCATTTTATCCCTGGACAAGGTATCAGATATATTCATCCCGGATGCTACAGCTAAGATTCAAGTAATACAAACAGTTTGACTGCACTGCCTAAATATACAGATGTGAATACAGAAAAGGTAATATTCATCATTTTATAGCTGAAACAATAAGACCCCCTGTTATACTTAATTTTAACTGTGGTTGAGAGTAAGACTGATGAATACAGTGAAACCAGCCCAGTCACAACTTGAAACCTTTATTAAGACACACAATAAAAATACTTACTTGTATCAATAAAGACAATGCTTACATAGTCTCAGATTCAGAGAAGAAACAGGCCCACTGGCCTTGCTTCTTTGTTCCCTTGGAGACTTGAGTTGGTTTGCTGGTCTTCAAAAAAGTCCAAATTCAGAAGTCCACATGTATAAGTCCAAATTTCCCTCCAGCCTGTGCCCAGTACTTATAGATGGCTGATTTTAATATTCTAATGAATGATCCCTGATTGGTTTTACTTAAATTTCTTTGTTTCCCTGAAACTTTTGGAACTAAATTGAACTAGATATCTGGTGGGCCTGGAAGGTGTCAATTAGTTGGGAATTATATCCCTGCAAAAGAAAAAGGAGCAAAAGGAAGGCTTCCTTATCTTCTTTCCCTTCCCGTTATATAATGCTGTTAATACTGGTCTGTTACCCTCCATCTTAGTTTATGGTCTGACAAGGCTGTTTTGTTTTTACATAATATCAAAAATACATCTGTTATAGCAAAATATTCAATATTTTTAGCTACATCAATTTCTACTTCTAATTATTTTAAAATGAAACTACAGTTCTTTCTTATAGTACTTCCTTTTAGGCCTTGTGTTCTGTTTCCTTGTCTCTAATTAAACATATGAATGGTTTCCGTTTGCTTTGCTGACCAAGCTAGTTGCTACATCTGCAAAGGTTCATGCTACAGTCATTCAGACACAAGCTTTTCAGGCCGTCTGCTTTCACCACATTTCTGCAGCTTTGACTTAGGCCTCTGATCAAACTTGGCAACAACATAAATTTGACTTATGTTGCACAGGCCTATGTATGACCTACACTCCGCTAAATGATCACATTCCCTCTACCCAGCAATACGTGTCTGTTGTTTCACATTTTGAACTTCTGGTCAATTCTGCTCAGCCTGAACAGTCTAGACAAGGAGAACTTAGGCTGCAAAGAAATGTTCATGTCACCCAAGACATTATAAGGAATTTCAAAAACTAGGTTTGCATGCAGTCCTTACTTCTTATGTCCTACAACAAGAGAAAAATTAAATTAAAACCCACAGTATGTGCCTTGCTTGGGATTTCAAAGCCAGAACAGGTTAAGTGTCAGTCAATTCCCAAAATTCAATTTGTTATGAAATGAGGAAAAGGAAATCAAATGTTCTGCTTTCATTTGTGATTGCCACCTAGATCAGGGAACATTCCCTGCACTCTTGTGTTAAGTGCTACACATGAAGTACTGGTTGTGGCTACTGCCCAGATACTGGACTTGAGAGTCCTCCCCATAAACCTTACTAAAAATGAAATCCTAGTGACAGAAACAAAAATATTCCCAAAAGACTACAAGATTAGGTTGTTGCTTTCCTCCACTTCCCATTTCCCCCCTCCACAGCCATTCATCATCATCATCATCTTTTTTCCTTTTTTCTTTTTTTTTTTTTTGGGGGGGGGGGGGGGGGG